GCATTAGGGTACAAAAATACATTAGTGTAAGTTCTCTCTACAAAACCATACAATCATTGGTAAAAACAAAAAGAAATATAAAGTGATACAATTTAACTTATCATGATGAGCAAAACAAATTCAGCTAGCACCATCTTAAACTTTTTTCTTCAGAGAGGCATTCCTGACGAAGTGCTTAATTTGACTCCATGGCCTAGACCGCAATGGAGGTTCTTTTTGTGCTCTCTCACATTCTTTTTTGGATGGTACCCTGCCTAAAGCAATCGCTGCAGAAAAGTGTTTCTCAACAGCAGCTCTCTGTGGGGTGTCCCACTTCCTTTTTGTACACTTCTTCCTCCTTTTAGGGCTGAACATGTCTGCTTCCTGCTGGTCTGAGTCTGAGGTGTCAGCAGAGATACGCTTCGTAGCCCTCTTAGCAGGCTGCTTCTTTTTCCGCTTTGAGGGTACAGCATCAACTGCCTCATCATCTGAGCTGTCGGCAGAGGGACGCTTGCTGGCACTCTTAGCCGGCTTCTTGTTTTGCCGCTTTGAGGGTCCAGCATCATCGGCCTCCTCATTAGAGTCAAGGTTGTCAGGGTTGTCCTGGTGAATCTCTTCTCCAGAGGTTTTAGTTAGTCCCATCAAGTATTGACTGACTTTGGCAGTTTGGAGAGTGGACTGCGGCAAACGGTATGTCTCATGGTGAGTTGTAATCTTGTGGCCCAAAAAATCAGCGAGTTCTTGAACTTCTCGTTCATTAAGACCAACAACCTTGGCCAGGGTTGCGGCCTCTTTTCTTAAACAGGTGGCTGTCACCCTTTCAGGGTGCAAACAGCCAGCCTTTTCGCGACATCCACGAAGAGCATCACTGCCTCTCATGTGGGTAACACAACCAACATTTGCAAAAACATAAATATTTTCTTCAGGTACTGAACACACAGACCGATATTTCAGGAGAAGAGCTACGGCCTCCTGCATTTGTCTGGTAAAAAGAATTGGCACTTTCATTCTTTTTTTCCCCCTGTTCTCTATTCTTTTGAAGGAACTAACAAGTTCTTTTTCAGTGGAGGAGAGGCTGTTCCAAATGTCAGTGTGGATACGCTCATCATCTGATTTCTTGAGGTAATGCGTCACCTTCAGCTTTTGGACATCACCAGGGCGTTTCCTGTTGAAGAACATAACTCTGGCAAGAGTTAGTTCAGTCAAGCAGTTATAAATGCTGGAATTTGGATTAGACTCAAGCTTTCGCATTGCTACCTCAGTGTGGTCATTAAAATAATTAGCCAACTTGACGATGTCTTCTTTGTCTGGAAGTTGTTCAGGCTTATTGTAACTACTTTCCTTCAACTGCAGTGACGCCTTGCTTGATACCTGCTTTGACCAGCTCAGCTCTCGAAGTTTGAGAAAATCCCGAATCCAACTTTTTTTTACTTCGTCACGAGACTTTATAGCATTTAGTTGGACAATTGCTGCCACCTTTTCAAGGTGTTCTCCAATTCTTTTTGCCACAGACGGTGTTTTGAATATATTTGCAGCAACATCATACCCTGATGAAGCTAGGGCAGCCTCAATGCAATTGTCAAAGTGGCCTGGATCCAGCGCATGCTCAAGATTTTTGATATTAGGATTAATCTTTTTGACGGCTATCAAAAAACCACCCAAAGTTCTCAAAGAGTGGCGGATATGGTTGAACTGTTCTGGGTCAGCAGAGTACTGTTCAACCATACTCACACCATAGGAACGTAACAGCTCATCAGTTTTCATGAGGTCAAAAATGTCGTCCTTCTTCCGACAGTTTCCCAGTACTTCTCCTTGGAAGACTTGCTCGTGGAACTCCTTAGGACTGGTGGACATAATTCTAGTGGCACGAGAAGTGAAGCGACCTGCTGCTGGCTTCTGAGTACATTTGTTTCGGTGCTTGTAGAGGGAGCCAATGGAAAACATATTGCCACAATAAGGACAAGTTTTATAATTGCTAGGCGATGAACTTCCTCTAACACGTTTTTTGACCTGAAGCACACCAGAGCCCTTCTTCAAACATCTCTGGTTGTGCTTCAGAGCGCCAGCGTCACGAAGTCTTCCAATAGCATCTTTACGATCTTTACTGCGCGGTGGGAGAGCAAGGATGTGTTTCACTTCATCTTCTTTACTATGAGCAGATGACAGGTGCTCAACAAGTTTGCAAAAACTTTTACCACAGAAAACGCAGGCAAATTTTTTTGACCAATCTCTCTCATTGACACATCTTTTCTGGTTTATTTTTTGAACAGAGATGGTTTTTCTAGATTCAGATGAGCCGTTTTCTTCGTTATCAGTAAGAAATTCAGGAACTTCAGAATCTTCATGAGACACAGGAACCGATGCTACTTCTAGAGCTTCACCACCACCTGATTCTTCACCATTATGTAATTCTTCACCATCAACTAATTCTTCAGCATTACCTAAATCTTCAGCATCATCTAGTTCTTCAGCATCATCTAGTTCTTCAGCATCACTAGTTGAATCATCAGCTGAATCAGACAGTGTAAAGTTATCCGAAGAATCACTATTAAAGTCTCCATCTGACTCATTTTCCTCTGGGTCACAGTACTTTACATTAGCGCTGGCCTTCCGTTTTGTTCTTTTAGAGAATTTCTTAGAACTTGTATCTGGAGAGCAACTGGCTTGGTCATCTATAAAATATAGTAACAATTATGTCATCTGATTGTGTTAGTCAAATAAATCTTTAAAAAAGCCAAAAGAATTGATTACCAACCTGCTTTCTCAGATGGAAAAGCACCTGCTTCAACTATGTTGTTCAGTATTAAGCCCTTGTCATCTAGAAATTTCTTAATATTAAAATTGTTGTCTTTTATGCTGACCATTGCCACATTTTTAAAGTTAAGTCCTGGTGCAGTTAAGCCTTTCTCAAAACCAACAGTTGTTTGGGAAGCCACCTCATTTGTAGCATTCACAACTAATTCATCAGGACATTCTTTAAGAACAACAGAATCTTGGTAATCTGAAAAATGTGGTTAATAAGGTCATCTGATTTTGTTGGACAAATAATACCAAAGCAAACAATAAAATGACATAGATAAAAACCTTGGTGGGTTGGATCACACACAGTAGGCCAATTTGACTGACTGACTTCCTCTAGGGAGGACAGTATCTCTTCAAAAGATTCATTTTTTAAATTGAACTTTCCACGATCAAACTCACTCATAAGATTTCGTTTTACTACAAGAGATTTGTCCTTGGAAATGCCTAAAAATGAAGACAAAAAAAAAAGGATAAGATAGACAACAAATAGAAAAGATGTTATTTAATTTGAAAATATTTTTGGACACTATTTACTTACCATTATGTGTTTCACCACCCTCACGACCAGAATGAGTATTTTGGTTTACAAAATCTGTCAGAAGCGGAGTACTCTGAGGATGTGTTGCTGAATTCTCAGTCTCAACATCTAAAGGTTCTGAAGCACCTAGAAGAAAAAAATAAGAAATCCATTAATTATTTTATGAACTAAATACCAAGAATAGTACAACCACCATTTTCTTACAGTGCAAGAAAGTTTTTCTAACCTATTAATATTAATGTTAGATCAGAATGTTAGACAGGAGACAAAGGTAATCCATGAGATCAGAGACCTACATAATAAAACAAGCAGCAACCCACCTTCTACTATTAGTTTTGTGGATGTCTTGGCACTTAGCATGACACA